GCCTTTTTTGCGGCCATCAAACACTGGTTGCCCATTTTAAAGTCTGCAGTAATTATGAACCCAGGTCCTTTACCTACGAAGTCCTCGGGATTTCGTCACGGTTTCCTGCTCCTCCACTCCATCTCCGATGACCAACACAACCACCGTCTATTAGGTATCTACACTTTGTGGGATTAAGTGGGAGGTCCCAGTCCACTGTCCAGCCGAACAGTGCATCCCGGTCCCTTTGTACACTGAACTAGCTGGATCGCCCACGAGATTCACGTCGTCGGAGAACAAGGAGGTGGAAGATTCCAGCCCTCGAGTCAAGTCATTAACAAAATTACGACTAGGTGGGTCCCCAGTACTGATCCCTGAGCCATTGGCTACCCGTCCTACGGTCGACAGGCACCATCTCACATCCACATAGAAGGACCTGTTCTGCAGAAACTCATCTATCCATCTCATCACTCCCGGCGCTAAGTTTGAGGCATTCAACTTACACAGGAGAAGACGATAGTTGGCTAAATCAAAGGACTTTTGAAAGTCGAGGTAGCATACCTCAACTCCTTGCCCTACATCAAACCCGCGTGTCACTTCGCTAAAGAAAGTGATCAGGTTCGCGAAACAGGACCGCTTCGGTAAAAAGCCATGCTGCCTAGAGGGTAGCAGTCCGTTTTCAGCTATGTGAGTCGCGATCCTATCTTTATTAACCTTTCCATCAATTTAGGAGCGATATAACGCTGACCGGTCTATAACTAGCCGCTACCTTTCTATTCCCCCCTTCCCGTTATGAATCAACGCAACTGCTCCTAATGCCCTCTGCTCAGGAGGGGCTGGCGTCAGCTAACGATCAGTTGAAATTGTCACCAGGGAAGATTCCAGAACCTCAGCCAGTGGACGTATTTCTGCGGAGTTTATTTCGTCGGTCTCCACTTGCATTTCACGTTGATTTGTTTGGAAACCTATCCAAACCCACGATGATTCTATGTGACATAACTCTATCTGTGTGTTGCTTCTCTATTGACCTTTCTCAATCACAAACACCATACATTATTCTTTANCAGCGACTTGTTTGCTCTCTCTGGAAACCATATTTGGCTCTCGATTGCTTGAGTGCTTTTAGCCGCATATTGGAGGTTTGCTTTATTGTACATTTTGTCATGATTTCGTTAATTCAGTACCGTAGAACATTACGGATCAATCGTGTTCTATTTCGGGATTCGTATCGATTTTGGCTACTCGTCACTCAAGTGCGAATTGGTTGACGTACAGTACTCAAATGGGAATCAAACGAGAAAACTATTTCCAAGATGCCCAGACGAGGAACAAAGGAAAGTGGAACCCAACAGGAAGTAACCCGGCAAGTCACTGGGGGCTGTGGGTTACTTTGTATCTTGAGAAAATGTTAAATCTGTTAGTCCTGTCAGTGCTGTTTCATGTGTAGATTCAGATACTGAGGATATTGATATATTTAGATTGCGGCATTCTGAACCTGGTCATCAAGATGCAGAAGTGCAGTATCTCCCTCGACCACCTCTATTATCGATCGGACTTGGATGCACTACAAACGCTGGAATGGGTTGTCAGATGTTTGCCGGCCGAAATGCAGACAGCCTAGGCGACCGAGGTCGATCGAATGGAGAAAAGGAACAGAGAGACAACCTTTGACGAATTCAGTGAATTCATAGGTTGCCAATCTCGCATAGCAAATAGTCCATTCGGTCAACTGACAAGAGCAAGCATCAGACCTTCAACGAGCTTCACGCCATCTGGATCTCGGGATCTTCATCCTCCACACAACTGGGCGAGCACCAACCTAATCTCATATGACACACAAAGACCGATTAGGTGTAAACTGTGCACAGACGTCCACAAGTTTTTTACCTGCCCAGATTTTTTGGCAATGAAAGTGATGGACCGCTGGACATTAGATAAAAAGACAGGGTCCTGCTTTGTGTGCTTGAGCGATGCCCACAGAGCAGCCTTGTGCAGAAACCGAACCAGCTGTGGTCAAGACAATTGCAAAGTTCGACATCACCCCTTATTACACCACGATGGAGGAGTCGAGCAGCGAACAAATAATGGCCGGGTCGATATAACCAACGAACACTCCGCGGGGGATTCACCAAAATCTGCACTATCGGACGGGTGTCAAGTGGGCTGGTCCGCTTGGAAATATTACCCATTTAAAAGGAGACTCCGCGTGGTTTGGTCCAAGCCGTGGCTTTTCTGGACAATGGACCGGATACCACCCGTGTGAGAGAGAGCTTTGGGCGCGAACACGATTTGGGAGGACAAAACACCTCACTGGTAATTAGCACGGGTAATGAGGCGCAAGCAGTTCGGGCTTCCCAACTGAGTTTGAAGTTGGCTTCCACATCGGGGGAAGATACCATAGAGGTGCACCAGGCATTTACTATCGCAAACCTACCAATGAGAGCTTCCAAAAGTATCAGACCGTTAGCTCAGCGCTGGCCTCACTTTCACGATCCACCGTTTGAGGATGTTTCGGACACCCGAGTGGACATATTTATCGGCTGTGATGTACCCGAGGCGCATTGGGTTCTGGACCAAAGGATAGGAGGCCGTAGAGATCCGTACGCCGTGCGCACGATTTTCAGTTGGATACTCTGCGGGCCACTCGGTANCAACTTCATGTCGCAGCCAGATAATCCCATAGGAGACGACCTGGAGCGGCTATACAGCCACGAGTTCGGGGGCATAGCAGATGACCGGGTATCTATGTCGAGAGAAGACCGATCAGCCATGGCCACCGTCACCCAAATGACACGACACAACGGAACCCAGTTTGAAGTGCCGTTAGCCTGATGAACGGGATTCAATTGACTGCTCGATAATCGAAAGGTTGTCCTCCATATGCTCAATTATCTGAAGGGATGACTGAAAAGTAAGGCATAGGTGAAGGAAGCTTATTATAATGCCATGAAACGCAATCTAGAGTTGGGATATATTGAACGCGCAGTGGGAGAAGCTAACAAAAAGCAACCATTACGATACCTCCTACACCACCCAGTTATAAATCCCAAGAAAACTCAGAAGACCGGGGTTGTGTTCATTTATGCTGCCAAGTTTGATGGGATTGCCCTGAAAGACTGTCTACTATAAGGCCCAGATTTGGGGACCCCGCTGATTAAAGTGCTATGCCGATTTCGTCTACGGTTAGTTTCGGTAGCGGATGATATCCAAGAAATGTTCATGCTGGTTAAAGTCCCCGAAGGGCAAAGGGACCGGACGGACCTGCCCGGGTATATCGGATGAAAGTGCACCCGGTTGGCGCGATATCCTCTCCCTTCTGTGCAAACTTCGCGTTAAAAACGACCGTGAATCAATTTATTCGACGTTTTGAAACCCCGGTGGGCTCCTGTGTTAAACACAACTTTTATGTGGACGACTTTCTGGGATCCTTTGATAGTATCGAAGAAGCAGTTCGACACATTAGGGATCTATCCAAGCTACTGCTCATGGGAGGGTTCAGGTCAACCATTTGGATGTCTAACAGTCTTCAAACGATCGATTGCATCCCGGTTGATGAACGGTCACCGTGTCTCCATGACGTGAAGGGAAGTCCGGTACCAACACAGGGTACTTGGTGGGCAGTGGGACTCGGAGAAGGATGAATTTTTGTTCCAACTCTAACTACCCGAAAAGACGGTGGTTCGTAGAGGGATTTTTCTTCGTTGGCCAGTCTTTACGATCCAATGGGGTTCGTCGAACCGTGGCCACTGTCGGGCAAGATTCTGTTGCAGGACCTGTGTAGAAAAATAGTTACTTGGGATGAGACCCTAAGCGAAGAAGATCACATGACTTGGCAAAGCTTGTGGTTGAGCCTGTCCAAGCTGGGCGATATACGGCTCCCTCGTCCCATACCAGGAATACGCCGAGGAGAGGCAAGTGAGTTACCCGTTTTTGCGGACGCCTCGGAGGTTGGATACCGGGTAGTGGCCTACAGTTGCTCGTCTCAACCAGCTGCAAGCAGCCAAAGCAGTATACTATTCGCCAAAGCCAGGGTTGCCCCCTAAAGGCAGTCTCAATACTCAGGCTAGAACTGGCCGCAGCAGTATTAGCCGTGAGGGTGGCAAAGATGCTCAACAGGTGTTTTCACTAGATAGAATGAACCGTAACTCACTGGACTGAATCCGTCACAGTTCTTCACTACGTTAACAATGTACGGTCGCACTTCAGCGCATTTGTTGTCAACCGGCTGGCTGTCATCCACGAAGAAACTGATGTGTGTTATTGTCGGCACGTAAAATCCTGTGATACTCAAGCCGACTACTGCTCTAGGAGTGTGCTAAACTTGGAAAATTTCAAAACATGGTTACATGGACCAGCTCTGTTGATGGGTCAGCCAATCGAATGAACCGACACTCAGATTCCCCCTATCGCAACGGACTCACTGGAGAATAAGAGGAACGTTACGTTAGTCGCTGCTTCAAACAACATCCTACTGCAGAGACTGCATCGTTTTTCACGTTGGACGAAGATTCTGAGGGTGGACTAGGTTTAAACGGCAACTCGCCATTATGAAATGACTCCAACCAAACGACAGCTTGAATAGTGCACACATTGTTCCAACAGAATTGAAGAAACCGAGACTGATGTTGTTCGTATGGTTCAATTGCAAGCCTTCGTTTCAGAGCTTCAGAGGTTGGGCCAGAGGAATCGTGACACCGGCATACATGCGTTCTATTGCAACTCTCTCCGATGAACCTGTCCAAATTTGTAGGTGGTTTGGTGGGAGCAGGCGGTGGATTGAAAAACACAGAATTGGATTTCCATCCTGAACACCCCAATATCTAGCCCCGCAAAAACCACTTCACCCAAATATTGATCATGCATAAACATATACAACAACGACATGCCGAGGAAAATCTCCTACTCAGTGCGAATTGCAGTCGGTTGTGGATAGTGAAACGGAGAGCTACGGTGAAGCGCATCGTGGGCAATGGTCTCTTTTGTCGTCGCCAGAATACTACATTCAGCAAACAACTGATGGTCTCGTTACCAAGTTCCCGAGTACGACCAGGTTGGTTGTCCTTCGTCGAAACTGGACTGGACTACTTCGGGCCAATTTAGGTGAGACGAAAGACGTCGATGGAGAAACGATGCGGATGTCTGATGACCTGTCTGCAGTCACGAGCTTTGCATATAGAGACCGTACACAGCATATCGACTGACTACTTTCTTATGGTCTGGCGGAGATTTGTGGGTAGACGAGGTAACCCATCGAATATATTTTTCGACAACGGGTCCAATTTCTTCGGTGCACAAAAGGAGTTGAGTAACTGATTGATCCGTTTGGACAAACGCGCCCTGAAAGACCGACTGTCGCCATCTGGAACCCAAGTGCACTTTAACCCACCCTACAGAAGTCACCGCGGAGGAGTTTAGGAACGCCTCATATGGTCGTTACGGAAAACATTGACAGTATTATTTGAAAAACAGGCTCCGAACGACGAAACTTTGAGTACGTTCCTGGTAGAGGTAGAAAGAATACTCATCAACCGACGGCTTGTATCCGTCAGCAGCGATGACCTGTAAGGACTGACGCCAACTCTCAGTGACCTTCTGCTACTGAGGTCCAATGCTGGCTTAGATATGCCAAAAACTACCAGTGACTGATATACCACGGGTTGGAAGCACGCAAACTACCTGGCAGGGGTGTTTTGGAAGCGTTGGACACGAGAGTGTCTGTCAAACCTTCAAGCCCGACAGAAGTGGTTGCATAGAGAGCGGTCGCTGAAGGTTGGAGATGTCCTTATGGCCGACGAAAAGCTACAACGCGACAACTGGCCATTAGGTGTAGTCATAGAAAGCCACACGGACTGAGATGAACTAGTAAGAACAGTGAAACTGAAAACATCTGCCGGTGAAGAGGTGCGCGATATTCGACGAGTGTGTTTATTGGAGTGGGATGACCACTATGCAGTTACTTGATGGAGTTGCGGAGACCGGCCGTGTATTATGTAGACTTTCGTGCCCCATTGTACAAATTGAGCCCCAGTGATATTCACCCCACCTGTAAGAACCCGTGCTTCCATGCCCTTACCATGCGTCCTCTCTATTCCATTTTCGTAACCAAGTGTCTATTTATTTTGGTTGATACATAATTTGTAACATGAACCTCGAAGGTGTGACCATGTCCTAATAACATCCATCTATTCACATACACACAATCACCTGCATTCTGAACATGATTTCATTTGTAAAACTTGAACACTAATTACACCGCCCACATTCCCCCCTACTTGTTTACATATCGAGACTTTATCTGTAATGATATTCGTTTGACCCACTGCTATCAAGTTATCGTACGATAGGCTGCAAGCGTGCTGATGAAGAAGGCAGATCTCAACGAAGAAACGTGCCAATCATCGGAGGTCAAGATCTACGAGTGTGGCGAAGGTTGAACAGTTCGTAGGTAGAAGCACTGACAGCAGGGACTAGGTAGATAGATAGGTAGACAAGAATCAATGACCTGCGGCAACCCTTTGACTCAGACTAGCGAAGGAAGTATTTTGGCGGCCGGTTTATTTCATGTTGAATTTTGAAAATCCTTCCAAACCCATGATGATTCTTTGTGACATAACTCTATCTGTGTGTTGCTTCTCTATTGACCTTTCTCAATCACAAACACCATACGTTATTCTTTATCTGTGGATTTGATNTCATGGGTTCACCACTCGGTTAGTGAAAAAACGAGCGCGGGTCTGCAGTCTAGATCTGCCTATCGCCAACATATAGTGGTGGTGCCTAATGTTTCTATTTTCGTTCAAAGTTCGTACTGATCCCTCTGGGTTAGAGATACCCTTCAAGCACTTGAAGGTCTCAGTCAGGTCCCCTTGAATCGCTGTCTCTCCAAGAAAATCAGATTGAGGC